AGCCCAGGTTTGTATATTACAAATAAGTCTATGTGATAAACTTCTGAAATATCAACTCTTCCTTATCTTCAAACTGAAGAAATTGTTTTTACAAGTTTATTCCTAATAGAATAGCGAAATAAGTATGTTTCCTGGTCATAATCAGAAATCATGTATTGAAATAAAATTAACATATCATATAAAGTGGTCCTTCCTCCCACGTACTTCAATAAGTGTCACGGGTCGAAGGATATAGAAAGTCTAGGGTTCAGATCAGTGTTTCTCAAAGGAACTGTGCAACACTACGGTCAAATAAGAAAAATTAACATCATAAAGAGTGAAACTTCACTAATGAAGTCTACACATTTAACAAAATCCCAAAAATAATAGGTTTTCTTCATGGGGGAAGAGGGTGGTAACTGGGTACGATTCTTTTAAAGTTCATATTTTTAAAACACACACACAAGTATTAAAATTCTGTGAAATAGGACTTAAAATGGGGAGACTTACCACTATGAAAAAGAAAAAAAAAAACAACTAAGCCTCAGAAAGTTAAAACAATGCGATTCTGCTGCATGAAGGGGCAGATAGATTAATGAAACTAAACGGTTATCCCAGAAATAGACCAAAATCTACATGGAAATTTATACTATAAAAGAAATCAAAGGAGAAAAGTTGGGATCGTTCAGTAAAATTGGAATTTTTAGCCAAATCTCTAGGCAATATGGCAGAGACTGCTAATTTTCCACTAAAATCCCTTCTTTCCTTCTTCTTGGGTACAAGGCGGCCAACACAGACTTCACTTTTCAGTCTCCACTGCAGCTAGATGTACCCACATAACGAAGTTCTCATCACTATAGTTCTCCTCTGTAGTGATGTCTGCAGTTTCTGATCACTAGCCCTGGACTTTCTCCTTTGCCCTTCCCATGGAGGGGACCCAGATACAGCAGCAACTCAGATAGGACCATGCAGATAATCACAGCAACAATTACTAGAGCCAAAGAACAGATGTAACTCAAGCCTCCGAATGATCAGTGGATATGGGCGGTTCTGCTGATCTGTTTTGCTTACACGGGGACTGTTAAGTGAAGAAAAAATAAACTTCTGTGTTCTTTGAACCATAGCATATTTCAGTCCCTTGGTTACAGCAATTCAACCTAACCCAAATTAATAGAGCATCTAGAGAAAAATTCATTTGAATTCATACCTAACATTTCAGATGGATCAAAGACTTAAATCTAAAAAAACCCCACATGACATTAGAATGAACCAGGAGATGGTAGGTCTTTAAATCTAAAAATGAAAGGAGGTCTTTTAACTACAATACTATGATATTGACCATTTCCTCCGATGTAAGTAAGAATGTAAGTTCTGCTGCGGAGCAAGAATTGGGGTCTGCTTTTTTACTACTGTATAGCCTGTTGTCTAGAACAAGTTCTCATACACAAGAGGCATTCAATAAATAATTCTTGTTTGAATAAATTGGCAATTTTAACTATATAAAATTTGTAATAACCTGCACAACAAAATAATAATTATTTCTATATAAATGGCCAACTGAGAAAAATATAAATAGCACATATCACAAGGATAAAAAGGGGGGGACTGATAATTTTGATGTCATATTTTGATAATAAAAATCATAACCCAACAGCAAAATAGACAATGAACACAAACATAGAAAGAAGATAACTAGAAATAAAAGTGGTTTTTAAACTCATGAAGAGATGCTCAATCTCAATCAAACTAAGAAAAATGCAAATTAAAGCACATTAAACTGCCATTTTTTACCTATTGCACTGTTAACCACATTAGGAAACTATGAACAATTTTAGCCCTGTTTCATAATTATCACAGGGGTAGCAACTAACTACAGCCATCATCTACTTCTCCCTCAAATAAATATATACAGAAAATAAAGTTTGTCTCCTAATACCATCTCTGTTATTCATTACTTCCTCTTAAAACTAATTCAACCTCACACCACCTTAAATGGGCATAAAAGTGTCTCAAAATGCTCAAAGGATGGTAGCCAGAACTAACAACTATGCTAATATATTAACAGCCTCCAAAAAATAAAAATTTCACAAAACTAACACCTTGGCAACAACCCCAAGCAGTGCATCGTCTGCCTTCGAAAATAAAAACACACATCCTTAGCGACCAAAGTCCAATGTCAACAGTCATGGCCTTGGTTTTGTCCATAATGTGAAAGGCCTCTTGCCTACCCCCTTTAAATTATGGACTAACCTCTCACTTGAGGACTGGTGATTATTACGTTACAGCCATATAACGGACACTAGGCAGGGATTTCTCACCCTGAGATTAAATTCTGCGTAAAAGTTAAAATATCCACAATATACCAAGTCAAGCCAAAAAGCAAGTTGTAAAATAGAATGTATGCTCAAGTGTCACCAATTTTTAACATAATTAATATGCATATTTGTTTGTGTATAAAAATATCTGTATATGAAAAGGTTTATAAATGGGAAAGTTTATATTCCAAGATTTTGGCCAAAAGTGAAAGAGAGAAGGGAAGAACTTTTATCTTTATATACGGCTATACTTTATACTGTTTTGTATTATCTGAAATGAAATAATCAAAATTAACTTTCACATAAAATATAAAGCTATGGGGGGCTAAGGCAGGAGGATCACTTGAGGCCAGGAGTTCAACACCAGCCTGGGCAACAGAGTGAGACCTTGTCTTTAAAAAAAAAACAAACAACAAAAAATAGCCAGGTGTGGTTATGTACATCTATAGTCCTAGCTACTTGGGAGGCTGAGGCAGGAGGATCCCTTGGGCCCAGGAGTTTGAGGCTGCAGCGTGCCATGATTGCATCATTGCTCTCCAGTCTAGGCAACAGAGTAAGACCCTGCCTCAAAATAGTAATAATAATAATAATAATAATAATGACTGTTTTATAATAATACATTGGACTTTCCTTTAAAAAGAATGCACCTAATAGCCGTATCAGAGACTTTCCTCAAAAGTATTAAATCTAAGAAGGCTGCATAGACCAACCCTGGCAGAATTTAATCCTCAATTCCTTGCTTCTGTCTCCACATACATGGTTCAAACCATATCTGAGCAACTCAAATGTTAAATTAAGAAAGACACACACATCAACATTTTGCACTTCAGGCTTCCCCTCACAGAAACATCTTACTGACTCTATTCCAAGTAGGTATACATATTACCCCCATAACTTATCACACCCTTAATATCGTTTCATCCTGGAGAGCGAGACTTTTGTGTTTTTGTTTTGTTTGTTTGTTTTTGATACAAGGTCTTGTTCTATTGCCCAGTCTGGGCTGCAGTGGTGTGATCACAGCTCACTGAAGCCTCAACCTCCCAGGTTCAAGTAATCCATGTGCCTCAGCCTTTCAAGTAGCTGGGAATATGTGCACCTGCCAAGATGCCTGGCTAATTTTTTTTTTTTTTTCCTTTTTTGTAGAGACAGGGTCTCACTATGGTTTCCAGGCTGGTCTCAAACTCCTGGACACAACCAGTCCTTCTCCTTTGGCCTCCCAAAGCACTGGGATTAGAGGCGTGAGCCACCATGCCTGGCTCAAGGCTTCTTTATGCTTTCAAAGCACTCCACGGGAAATGTATTATTAAAATGTAGTTCTGGAAATGGTAAATGTATGGACACAGTAAAAAGCCCAGTGATTGCCAAGGGCTAGTGGGGATGGGAAATGAATAGGTAGAGCACAGAGATCTTTAGGGCACTGAAACTACTCTGTATAATACTATAATGGTAGATGCATGTCATTACTCATTTGTCCAAACCCACAGAATGTACAACACCAAGATTGAGCCTAATGTAAATTATTGCCTTTGGGTGATAATGATGTGTCAATGTAGGTTCATTGATTGTAGTAAATGTACTACTCTGGTGTGGGATATTGACAGTAAGGGAGATGTTGGGGAGATAGATGAGAACTCTATTTTCTGCTCAATTTTGCTGTGAACCTAAAACTGCTCTAAAAGAAATAAGGTCTATTTTAAAGGAAAAAATTAGGGCCAGGCACAGTGGCTCACACCTGTAATCCCAGCATGTTGGGAGGCCAAGGCAGGCGGATCACAAGGTCAGGAGTTCGAGACCAGCCTGGCCAATATGGTAAAACCCCATCTCTACTAATAATACAAAAAAAATTAGCTGAGTGTGGTGGCGCGTGCCTGTAGTCCCAGTTACTCAAGAGGCTGAGGCAGGAGAATTGCGTGAACCCGGGAGGTAGAGGTTGCAGTGAACCGAGATCATGCCACTGCACTCCAGCCTGGGTGACAGAACAAGACTCCATCTCAAAAACAAAACAAAACAAAACAAAACAAAAGAAAAACTGGCCGTGCGCAGTGGCTCAAGCCTATAATCCCAGCACCTTTGGGAGGCCGAGACGGTGATCTCGAGTCAGAGATCGAGACCATCCTGGCAACACGGCGAAACCTCGCGTCTCTACTAAAAATACAAAAAAAACTAGCGGGCGAGGTGAGCGGCGCCTGTGTCCCAGCTACTCGGAGCGAGCAGGAGAATGGGTGAACCCGAGGCGGAGCGTTGCAGAGCCGAGATCCGCCACTACACTCCACGCCCCGGCGACAGACAAGACTCCGTCTCAAAAAAAAAAAAACAAACAAAAAAAAAAAAAAAGAAAAAGAAAAGAAAAACTTAATGTAGTGGCCCTGTAAGGTGAAAAGGATGGCAGGGGCATTTTATAGGTAGGGAAACATTGGCAGTATTTATCTGAAAAACTTGGCCAAATTCAAAGAATAGCTGTGCAGATCCACCCAACAAAGCCTACTACTATGAAAGCAACGTCAGAACTAAGAGCTATTAGGCTGGTCCTAACTTTCTTATGTTGGATTCATATAAAAAAACAAAATAATCATTTGTGGCAAAGAATTTACCCTGTAGATTTGATCTCTGCCAAAGAGTATTAAAAGAAGTGATTTGTTGAAGTGGCTGCACTGCTGGTTCTGGCAACGCCGCTCTGAGAGCTCCGGGTAAAGCTGACTCAGCTACCTTAACGCAGGCTCCTGGTCACATCTGCCCAAAGTCCTTCAAGCTGCGTGCCCTCGTTCAGGGTTTCTCTCACTCTGGTCACTGGGGTACTCGGGAGTAGAAGAGGCGTTCCTGGGATTATGAGTTCTCCAGCAGCTTTCACTTTGGCAGTGTGACGCTTAACAACGCTCCAGGCTGCAGAGGGAAAGAATAAAGAAAACCAGCTAAGCAGAAGAAAATCCTGTAGCTGTGAATGTGGTGGCTAAAGGAAGTGCACATTTGGCACGTCTTTCAATTTGTACCACAAAACGAAGCCCATCTACAAGTGCAGCAAGTACAGAAAAGTTTGAAAACACTGATAGGAAGAGTGTAAAGGTCATGGATCTACAGTGGTCTTTAAATATTTTTCTAAACAACACAAAAACCAGTAAGATCTGCAGTCGGCACATTTCAAAATCAAGTTACTTTAAAGCCTATACACTATGTACTCTAGCCCTTTCCTCTCCTTCCCTTGCCACACACAAAATCAAACAAAAATTTTGACTCTGCATGTACTAACTATTATGTGCATTTGAGGCAGGCGGATCATGAGGTCAGGAGTTCAAGACCAGTCTGGTCAATATAGTGAAACCCTGTCTCTACTAAAAATACAAAATTAGCCAAGTGTGGTGGCACATGCCTGTAATCCCAGCTGGTGGGGAGGCTGAGGCAGGGGAATCACTTGAACCTAGGAGGCGTAGGTTGCGGTAAGCCGAGATCATGCCATTGCACTCCAGCCTGGGCAACAAGAGCAAAACTCTGTCTCAAAAATAGAAAAAAAAAATAGTTTGAGCAGTACAAACTATAGAATGAAAAGTCTTCCTCCCGTTCCAACATCCCTGGCCTCTCCTAGAGGTATCCAGTGCACCAGAGTAACCAATTTCTTGTATATCCATTCAAATATATCTGATTTTGGTCTATTTTCAAGCAACAATCTCTGGCATAGACAGATCTGGTTCAAAGGCTCATAAAACAATGGTGGGGAAGGAGCACAAAGCGGAAGGGAAGAGGAGCGGAGCTCTAGATATCTAATAAAAAACAAAAACCCACCCAGGCCCCCTTTTCCTTTAGGAAGACTTGAAAAACATCAACATTTGCCAAAGGAAGAGGAAATTTTTATTAGAACCAAAGGAAGAGGAAATTTTTATTAGAACCAAACTTTCCCATTCAAATTGTTAATACAAAACACTGAAAAACTTACTGCCTTCAGAAAACAGCACCTTTTTTTTAACCTCAAGGAACATTTTGCTAAGAAAACCTTCACGTAAATAAATCTAAGCAGAAAACAAGCCCCAAATGCAGCACTCTGCAGTAATTATGGGGAAAAATCTTCCCATCCACCTTGGAATTCAGGGGAACTGTTTTACAGATACTATCAAACCGTTCCTCACTTCAAATTAAATTGAGGCTCACAATCTATTTGAAAATAAAATCTAGACATATAATAGGCGCAGTAAGAAAAAGACATGTAAAACTATCTTCCATAGAGAGGTCAACCAGAAATTTGTCTTTTTCAGCAATCACTTAGCAAAGTTAAAGAGCAAAAATGCATTTCTAAAGTGAGCATCCTTAAAAACAAACTCATCAGCTGAGCAGCACCCACAAACCCTTGAGTTTCAGAACAAACCGTTGAAATACTGGTATTTTCCAAGATGCTGGGGCCAGGGAAATTTGGCAGAGTCACACTAAAGCTGCCTTCCCCTCTGCCAAAGACTAACTGCATTTTAAGAGGAGGCCAGTGTTCAGCTGTCCTGCCTAGGGTCAACCATGTCTTTTAAGTGAGAGTTACTGTATTGGTGGGAAGAGGTTTAGATAAACCAGAAAATAAACACCGGTATGTATTTTTCTAATTCTCTTTTTAAAAATCAGAGACTCTCTCTCTTTTTTTTCTCCCCCTCTTATTATAAAGGTGCTTCTAATTTGCCATCCAACATCCCAGCCCTATCATCTTCACTGCATGGAATTCCTTCTCATCCTTCAAGACAGTGTTTGGGTTCCCCTGCCTCTGTCCAGTCTTCTCTAAAGATTCTTATATTTCCCAGATCTTTCTAAGTCCCCTGGTATTTATATTCTATATGACAAACAACCTGGCATTAATTCCCTGCCATGCACTGGGTTTCTCGAAACCAATTCAAAACTAGATAAAGATCACATATTATTCTTCAGTGTTTAGCCCTCTTTCACGATACTTAGCATATACTTGGTGCTTAACTAAATCTCCAAGTTAAATATAATTTAACATTTGTTTTAAAATTCACTGGGCTCTCAAACAAACCGTGGACTGAAATCAAAACTGTGGTGTACTATAAGAAAGACCAGGTTGGTAAAATGGCAAATAACGTGTTGAACTGGATACTTAACTCTTCAAATGTTCTACTTGGCACCCATCTCCCCACAAATACCTTTCATATCAACAGGCAAGCTCGGCACACCTGAAAGGTAGCTAAAAACTGTTGTGTTCAAAACCCCAAGAGGGACTGAAAATATAAAAACCAACTCCCCAAAAAGATATACTCACTAATTAAAATCAGTGCTATTATTCAGGTGCAGTGGCTCATGCCTGTAATCCCAGCACTTTGGGAAGCTGATGTGGGTGGACCACCTGAGGTCAGGAGTTCAAGACCAGCCTGGCCGACATGGTGAAACCTTGTCTCTACCAAAAATACAAAATTAGCCGGGCATAGTGGCAGGCACCTGTAATCCCAGTGACTCGGACCTGGAAGGTGGAGGTTGCACTGAGCCAAGATCAGCGCCACTGCACTCCAGCCTGGGGAACAGAGGGAGAATCTGTCTCAAAAAAACAAGCAAACAAACAAACAAACAAAAATCAGTGCCATGAAATAAATATCTATATAATAAACTCTAGCAAATTTTCAAAAACCATTCATTGAGCTGAGTTTTTCCCAAAAATTTAGCCAACTTATTTGGCAATGGAGTTTCAATTCTTGGCAGCTAATCAAGCTGTGTAAAAGTCGGACCCTAAAGGGTCAAAGGCACATTCCTGAGCAGGGAGTTGGAGGATGACAATGAAGAAGGAGAAGGAAAATCCAATCCAATTTTCTAACTCTAATTTTGGGCATTTAACATTACAGTACAGTTTTCTTTAATCCAGTTTAAAAGAACACGCATAGTTTCTTAAAAGTTGTTGCAATATGATGGGACCTGAATAACAGGCAAGCACAAAAAGCACTTAAAATCAAACAAGCTCTTGGCAGTCCACAGAGCAGCTAAGCAACAGGGAAAAAAAAAGAAAAAATCAAGACAAGTTTTCTCAGCTCTTTAGTTACAACCATATCCTTGGCTTCTAGAAACTGTGGCTTCTAAACATTGCAAATCCTTACCCTTTCAAGAACCATTCCATACTCTCCCTGTCTGTTCACCCAGTCCATAAACCAAATAAACCATGGTGTATCTTGCTGTGGAATTGCCATTAACCAGAACTACTTCAGAAAGCAGGATATGGTAGCAAGAACATAGACTTAGGAAGCAGCCAAACTCAGTTTTCCAACCTATTAAATGTGACCTCTGCAAATCATTTAACCTCTGAGTTTCAGTTTCCTTTTCCATGAAATAGGGTAAATACTTCCCATCTAGTTACTAATTATAGTAGCTATCATTTAGTGAGTTCTTAGTTCTATAACTGTGCTAACCACATTACTTGCATTGTCTGACTTAATCCTAACAATGAAATTGAGAGGTTATATTATTCCCAAATTATGCATAAGAAAATGTGAATGACCATGAGAAATGCGAATTTCCAGGAATTTCTCCAGAATATATTGTTCTTAAAATAATTCCATTCTTTACTCATGATTATGGATATCCAAAAACATTGCTAAATGGGAACTATCATAGTTAGTAGTATTTACAAAGAATTGTAGCCTATAGCAAATACTAAGATCCTGGAAAATGCCAGTGAACATTATTGGATGTTATGCCAGTAGCAAGCAAACTTCAGCCCACAGTCTGGATTTGTAAATAAAAGTTTTATTGGAACAGGCACACTTGTTCATTTTAAGTATAGTCTATGGCTGCTTTCACACTGAAATGGTAGAACTGATAGTTGTAACAGAGTCCGTATGGCTTGCAAAACCTAAAATATTTACTATCTGGCCCTTTAGAAAGAGATTTTGTTGACCACTGCAATAACCTACATTCAGATCTACAAGCAAATTAACAGTACAACACAGACTCGTATGTTGAAGTTGCCAATTTAAAGACTCAGTTTAATTCTAAAATTTATTTCTTGTAATACCAAGCGTAGGATATGTATACAGTATGCTATGCATATAAACTTATTTTATTTGCAAACATGACAGATCAATGGTAGTAGCAGATTGGGTCACAAAGACACATTTTTAACATGGCAACAGCGAGAAGAAATCATGACCCATTCTCTCCCACGTGCTCCTATCCTGCGCTGGCTCCAAAAAAGGTGGATCTTATCCTCCAACTCCGCAAGTCAGCTTTTCCTGTTCTTGCTTTCAACTTGACATCAGTGAATTCTTTCTACTGTCATTGTGTTGACTCATACAATTCTCACAGGAGAATTATAACACTTTTTCCCATTTACCTCATAAGTGATGTTTCTAGGGATTTGGAAAAACATATATTTCCCAAGAAATCCTGAGAAGGAATTCTGTGACAGAAACACTGTTCTCTCCAGGTGTATATCGAGAGACAGAGTAGGAATCATATGTTAGACTTCTAGAGAATGAAGGAAAAAAGCTGGGGAGGGAGGGCAGAGCATGAGGAAAAACAAAATCTCCAAGATATTTTAAGGAAAAGATTCAGGTCTGCCTTACAGCCTAGAAAGAAGACCGGGCCAAAGTGGAAATACAGTGAAGATGGGTTTTCCTAATGCTTTGGCTGAAATATTAGACTACCTTTCTCCTCCAGAATTTAACGTACAATTTGGCTAAGACAAAAGGGGCCCACTGTGGATTACTTAATTACAGAGTGTAATTAAGTACCAGACTACACTTCTAAAGATAATCTGCCTACACTCTGTAACCCCGAAACCCTCAAGTGAAGTGGTTTGATGATCCATCAAAATCCCTTTCATCTGTCCAGCCAAAGATTCATCTACTCCTGCCAGAAATATAAAGTAAAGGAATCAAGGAGAAAACTTGAGGCAACAAAGGCAGTCAGTGGGC